TTTGGCAGTCCAGCTAACGCCAGTCACCGACGCCAACGAGGATCTAAATTTACAAGTTGAGACCCATAACGAGTCGCAGAATACTGCGGGAAGTGGGCATATTTTTAAAATACCAGCGGGCTGCAGGTAACGCAGCACCCAGCAATCGCGGATGTATACGTCGAGCCCGCCGCAGACGATGATTTTTTGTCAAAGCAACGTGGGTGGGTCGCGGGGTGGGTCGCGGGCAGGTCGCGAATGCGTCGCGGGCGGGTCGCGGGCGGGTCGCGGGTAGGTCGCAGGTGGGTCGCGGGCGGGTCGCGGGGCGCGTCGCGGGCGGGTCGCGCGCGGGTCGCGGGCGGGTCGCGGGCCGGGTCGCGGGGGGGGCGACGCCAAGCAACAACCACAGACAAACAACAACAGCAGTCAAACAGCCAAACAAACAAACAAAAACAACAACGATAACCATAATTCGCATCGCGGAATCCCGTTTCAGCCGCGCACCCAGGGACAGTGAATCACCGTTCGGCCCCCTCATTCTGACATCGAGGCGCGTTACGCGCAATTGGTGGGGGCGCAGGACATGCGGCCCGATCGGCTGCCAGAGCCACCGCACCGGAACTCGTTGCCCAGGCAGAAGTCATGTTCGATGCCATTGCCGATCGGTTGGCGGAAGTGGCCGACGAGTTGCGCAGTCCTACCATTAAACGCCACGCCGACTTGCCGACGGTTCCAACAGGAACGAGGTTCTTTAAAGGCGGCGAGCCTCGCCCTGTGCAGCGCCAGCCTTCGCGCGACAAGATCAACGCTCCACCTGCTCCACCAGCGGCCCCGACTCCTCCAGCTGCTCCGTGTCCGACTGTCACCGTGGGCGGCAGCAGTGGCAGCGGGGGACCCACAGCTCAGGCTGACGCTCCACCTACTCCGCCAGCGGCTCCAACTCTTCCAGCTCACCCCAGTCCGACTGTCACCGCGGGCGGCAGCAGCGGCAGCGGGGGACTTACCGGCCCCGCGGAGGCCCCCACGCTCGGGGGAACAGGTCGCATTCACAAACCAAACCAGCCAGCCCAGCCCGCCGAAGCAACAACGAGGCCGGCGAAAGACAGGTCACCAAGGTATGTGGAGGAGCGCGTCGGCGACATCATGAAAGGTTTCAACAATCGTGAGATTATCTAGGTCGACATGCTGGCTAAGAACACGATTGGGATGCCCAACTTCAGACCATTGCTGGCTTGCGCGAAAGGATCGGAGTTCCCTTGAGGTGGAACGAGCATCATGGCCCGAATTACCAAGTCGAGCCAGAGGATCCTCACAAGGCAGTCAGGCACTTTGGCGTTACTGATATGGCGACTGGCACAACATGGCTGTGGTCAGGCCGTTTAAGATCGGCGAAGAGGGCTACGACCGCGACAACGCCCACCAGCACCAAGCTTTCGAGTGTGTCTTTGGTCGCCACGCCAACGGCCCATTATGTGGTTCGACTCTCCCTTCCGCATCACCGCATGTCGGAGCATGAACGCTGGGTTGCCGAAGTCATGCGCCTGTAGTCGATAATGCCAGCAGGATACCGCGGGGCCACGGATCACGATGGGCTCAACGAGGCTTGGTTCCATGACGAATGGGTGCCAGACCCAAGCACACGTCGACGAATTACCCGACATGCAGAACCTCGAGCTCGTCAACATGCTGTCAACGCGGTTCGGCATGCACTGGCCGGGAAACTGCACACTTTTAGCCGTCAGATTTTTGTTCGAGGATGCCAGCACCAACCATGGCGAGATATCAAGTGCCACGGCAGGGATAAGGTTCATTACCGAGAAGTTGGCGCAAGCATTCATTAGAGTGGCGAACGGACTCCATATGATTTGCAAGCAGTACCCGACCCATCACTACACGAGTCTTAACGACCAAGAAATGCAGCATAATTCGGGGCAGCGCCCCTTGGAATGGCACAGCACCTGGCTTACCGCAAAACCGACCATTCAGAGCAAGATGATGGGGCATTAACAGATCGAACTTCCTTCACCGTAATTCACTGGGCCGTGATCCCAAGCGCCGAAAGAGCCTGAATTGGCGGGCCCGGTTCACGTCGCATGACTTCGCAGCAATGGTTAGTTGACCCACAGAGCGGATATCATCATTTGGTGGACAATCAAATCAATCCAACTCTGGCATCTTAGATCTACGCCCCGGACGCGACTTATTGGTCAGCCTTCGGCACGTACCATCCCCGCGTTGATTGCACCATTCGTTAGAGGGGTTGGGGGCGCTGGACTAACGAGGAGGAGAGGGACCAGGCGTATAACGACAGTACGTACATGAGCCACATTCAGAGAAAGCGCCGCAGTCCACGTTACCGTTCGAGCGCGCCGGGTCACCAGGCCGCGCAGAGACAGGCAGGCAGGGCAGCTTCGCGGCTGCCGAGGCGCTACAAGATGTGATTAACGAATCATGGTGTGGCCCTCATGAGTTCTTTGGCGTTGAAACCTCGTTAACGTTCTCAGACCTCTCGCATATCTCCCCCATTACCTAGTGAGCGTGAACAGCCGTGTTTCACATGCATGTAGATAACACTTGTTTATGATTGGGGAGTGCTGGCAAATTAAAAGCGAAAGCAGCCAGAATCATTATCGCTAGCTCGCCGTAGAACGCTTCAGTATAAGATTTTGTTGCGCGTCACGCACGCCCGGGTTTAACAGGCACTCCAGCTGATACAGCGAATGCACTGTTGTACACATCATCATTGAGCATTGAAAGTACATATCACAATCATTGCCGTATTATATCACTGATACCTTCCCCCTTGCTTTGGCAGCTGTGTCAGCCGAGGGGGGATGAAAGCATGCAGTGGCAACTGGGGAGGCAAGGTGAATGCCAATGGGTGCATTAATGCAACCATGTGGCTCAAGCTTCTAACGTTCAGAAGTCTGACGCATCCGGGCGTCGCGAGCAAAACAAACGCGCGCTACTACGTCGAATCCTCCTGGACACTTTGCAACAGGAAGAGAAGGGGGAGGAGGAGGAGGAGGAGGAGGAGGAGGAGGAGGAGGAGGAGCAGGAGCAGGAGCAGGAGGAGGAGGAGGAAGAGGAGGAGTAGGAAGAGGAAGAGCAGGAGGAGGAGCAGGAGGAGGAGGAGGAACAGGAGGAGCAGGAGAAGAGGAGGAGGAAAATAACAACGAGGAGCAGGAGGATGGGGAATAGATCTGGATACCTATGCCGATCCTGTTCGCGTGGCCTCTCCCAGGGCCTGCCGCCGACCCACGCCGTGCGCCCGGCGGCCGGAGACGCGCTCGTGTTCGACCATTGCGGCCGCAGTGCCTTCCACGACGCGGAGCCCGTCAGCGAGGGTTGCAAGTACATCTCGGGGGCTGCCAGGGGTCAGGGGCGCCTTGGCCGACCCCTACTTGGATTCCCGACGATATGATCTTTCGGCCAGCGGTTTTCCTTGGTTTTGGCCTCTGGAGCCCACTGATGAGCCCTAGGACAGTCAAAAATGGACACGGGGCGAAAAATGTTCCCAGGGAAGTGGTCGGGACCCTTGGGGCCGCGGATGCGGGTGCCCAAATCACATCGGCAGAGGTCACCCGGACGGGGCCAGGACTAGGATAGATCCGTCCCAGAGCATTCCGGAACGCCAGAGCGTTCCAGAACGCTCTGAGAAAGCCGCGGCGCCTGAGACATCCTCCAGGGTCGCCAGATCTCAGAGATTCTCGATTTATCCTCACCCGAATTTGTCCTCGTCTTGGCTTCATCTTAGTGACGGTCGCAGACGGGCCCCTTTCGTGGCGGCCCCCTCGCCTCGCTCCGAGGCGTGGGCGGGCGGCCCGAGGGGTGTTTCCTCGAGGGCGCAGCGGTCGTCGCGGAGGGGGCCCGTCGCAGAGGACGTCTGACGAGCCGATTTCTCCACCACCGCTACCATAGGGAGGAGGAGGAGGAGGAGGAGGAGGAGGAGGAGGAGGAGACTTCGGCGGAGAAGGTACCGCTTTGCCCGCAGTGCCGCAGGAGGAAGAGGAGGAGATGGAAAAGGAGGAGGAGGAGGAGATGGAAAAGGAGGAGGACGAGGACGAGGAGGAGGAGGACGAGGAGGACGAGGAGGCGGGGGGCGGCGAGGAGAGCGACTGATCCCTATTGGTCTCTTTATTTGGCCGGGTTCGCCTGCCAGAGGTGTGCATCACCTCTCCTTGTTGTTTGTTCTCATGAGCTTCCAGTAGCATTGTTACACTTTTACGCCCCTCCCCTTCCCCGTCCTATCTATTTTAGCGGTGGTGGAACATTGGCCCATCAACGTCGGTCAGGCCGCGCCCGAAGAATGTCTTCCTTGCCCAAAGTGTCCCCAGCCTTGTCGCGTTTCACTCTGTGGCCTCTCCTGGGGCCCTCGAGGGCCCGTGGAGGCCACCCGGGCCACCTGGGGGATCCTGTCCTGGACCCCCGACGTCATGATTTTTCATATCGTGGACACCCAAAGAGCTGGACCACTTCCCAGGGACCAGTTTCTCATCCCGAGTTGTCCATTGACAGTTCGTAGGCCTGGTAAGGGCCCTCAGGAGCCAAAAGTACCCTAGCAAAGTACCCGAATAGCAGCAAAGGTGAAGAGGCGTGTCGAGGAGTAGGAGGTCGGCTAGTGAAAGTGTGCATTCCTAAGTATTCCTAGTGATTCCTAGGAACGCTGACTGGCGGGACAGTGGTGCGAGCACGGCCATGTGCACCGTAGTGTATTTAAAGAAAGCGATCGTGGCCGTCCCGACCAAAATGTAGTGGGCATTGAGGCGAGAGCACGACTCCATAATAAATTGTTAGGAAATCTGAGGCGAAACGGCTGCGGGACCGCCTCTGGACCAGGCGGTTTCAGGCTCCCCGTCCCTTTTGTGGGACTCTTCTTTGGTTCCTCCATCATTATATCAGAACCCTCCAGCGAAATGCTATTGGGGAAATAGCGAAGTCCCTTCCGTCGTGATGTTCGTCGCGACGCGAGGGGTTTGGAGCGGACGCCTCGAGCCAGGGACACCAGACCCCCGAGCATCATGCGCGGGGACCTGCTCTACGCGGCGCTGCCCGAAGACCGCGCGCTGCTCTGCCAGCCGTCGGCGCCCCCGGAGCAGCGGAGCTGGTGCTCGGCCGCGGCAGCCCGCTACGCGACGCGCGACTTTATCGGGCAGGTCGCCTCGGGAGACTTCTGCCGAGCCTCTTCTCGCTGCGAACAGAACAGGACAATCACGGCGGAAGGTTTTCGTTTTCCTGTGCCTCTTGGGGGTCCTCACGCGACTTGTCCAGGCAGGTCGCCGCGGGAGACACCTGCCAAGCTTTCTCTCGGCGGCGCGCCGAGGGGGGACGTACAATGTGTGTGAATGTCATTTCCGAGGGGGGCGGACTTGCTCATTGGAAAAACGTTTAATTATCTTGCACAGCTGTGTTCTAGAGCTCGGACCCCTTTATGTTCGTCGTCGTTCGTCGTTCGTCGTTCGTCCTCTCCCCTGGCAGTCCTGGCCTTGTCGAACGCCCGCACACGCTTGCTTGGGGCGCGAATCCCACGCAACAAATGAGACAAAGTGCACGCGTGCGCGGCGTCGCGCGCGCACATGGGAATCCATCAAAAACCGCATGGGTCGCACGGATTTCAACATCGAGGTTTCCAGAAAAATGTCGGAACACACAAGTGGTGTTGCACCATGGTGTCTCATGTACGTGCGCGCTCGTTCTTGCGAATTGTTTTGAAAATCCATCGCTTCTTCCATATGGTCATCAGATGCGACCAGGCAAGCCTCTCGCGCGCGCATGTCGAAGCCATCCAAACGCCTTTCGATTGCTGGGGTGGCACGATCCCTGTCGAAAAACATCACGCGGGCCGCTCGCGCCCGTCGGTCGCGCGCGCACGTCGACATCCTCCAAAACCTACACCACCGAGACGTGGAAACCATCATCGTCATGGCCGCAATCAGCATCGGCGCCGCCATTGGCTTTGCCGTCGTCATCGCCAGCATCGCAATCATCATCATCCTGTCCACCGTTCTCGACGTCGCCATGATACCGCACCCGCCCGAGTCACCGACTCGAGCTGGAGTGCTCGCGCGTCGGCGCGGCCTGCGAGACGCGCAGGAAGTCCCCTGAGGTCGAGACGCGCTGGGAAATCCCCAACGGCCAGCGCAGCACGGGCCGCATCGATCGCACCAAACTTGCCAGCCGCTTTGCGCGCAACTTTGCGCGCGATAGCGCGGCCGCAGTGACGCGCCAGTCACCGCCATTGCCGCCGCAAGCAAGGGTTTTGCAAACCAGTGCTAAGTTGCGGGCTGGCGGGCGGGATGATTGCGAGAGCAGCGAAGCTGACAATTCATCACAAACCAAAAATCAGCATGCCACATAGATTGCACCACATCTCTTGCACGACATGTATTGTTCCACATAGTTTGCACCACGTCGACTGCTCAACGTAGATTGCACAACATAGCTCACACCACTTAGATCCTCCACTCCACAGCTACTAGGATCCACCTCCCCCCAAGGACTGATCGGCTCCCCTGGGAATGTCGAATGCACGTGCGATTCTGCCCCAGGCAGGTCGGCGTCGGTTCCCCCCCACCATCCTCTACATGGGGCAGTATGCGCGCACACTCGGTTATCAAAAGTCATCCATGTTCAAGAACCCCGTGCAAAAAAATCACACGAATTGCGCACGCGCGCGTCGTCGCGCGCGCCAAAGTCCTTCAAAAACCTTCGGGCCCCCAAGCGCTTTCAAAATCCAGCGCCCCGAAAACAGATGTTCAACCAAAAAGTGTCGTTGCGCGCTTATGTTCATAATATAGTATAATATAGTATAATATGAGACATTATAATATAACATAATATAATACAATATAACCTAATATCTATACACCTATACACTTATATACATATATATATGTACATACATACATACCTATATCCTACACATACATACATACATACATACATACCTATACGACCGCCCTGCGGGCGATAAGGAGGTTGGGGGGGATTGAGATCAAATGCCCACCCTGACGGACCGCCAGCCTGTGGATTGGATTGGATGGGATAAAATGGATTACATAAGATAAGATGGGTTGGATTGGAAACGGCGGATTGGATAAGATAAGATTGATTAAATTGGCCCGCCGCAGGCGCAGAAACAAATGAATTGAAGGATTGGGTTGGATGGATTGGATTGGGTGGGATACGATAAGGTGGGACAAGATGGATTGGATACGATAAGGTGGATTGGATAAAAAAAAAAGCCCGCCGCAAGCGCCGACAAAAATGAATTAATGGATTGGGTTGGGTGGATTGGATTGGTTGGGATAAGGTGGATTGGATAAGATAATATGGGTTGGATTGGAAGAACTGGATTGCATAAGATAAGATGGATTGGATTGGCCCGCCGCAGGCGCAGAAACAAATAAATTGATGGATTGGGTTGGGTGGATTTCATGTGGTGGGATAAAATAAAATGGGACAAGATGGGTTGGATAAGGCAATATGAATTGGATTGGACAAGATGGATTTGATAAGATAAGCTGGAATGGATATATATATATATATATATATAAATATATATATATAAAAAAAAACAAAAACAAAAAAAAAAAAAAAAAAAAAAAAAAAAAAAAAAAAAAAAAAAAAAAAAAAAAAACACGCAAGCGCCGACAAAAATGAATTAATGGATTGGGTTGGGTGGATTGGATTGGTTGGGATAAGGTGGATTGGATAAGGTATTATTGGTTGGATTGGAAGAGCTGGATTGCATAAGATAAGATGGATGGATTGGCCCGCCGCAGGCGCAGAAACAAATGAATTGATGGATTGGGTTGGGTGGACATCATGTGGTGGGATAAGATAAAATGGGACAAGATGGGTTGGACAAGATAATATGGATTGGATTGGACAAGATGGATTGGAGAAAATAAGTTGGATTGGATAAGACTGCCCGCCGCAGGCGTCGAAAAAAATGAATTATGAATTTAGCGACATGCGTTAACGCCGGGACGCCCGGGACACCCGGGACACCGCCCAGCCCAACTGGGACACTTCCCGGCCACTGGCGGACGGGAAACGGATTTTCGCTCCTACTGACACCCGGGACACCCGGGACACCGCCCGGCCCAACTGGGACACCTCCCAGCCACCGGCGGACGGGAACGGACTTTCGCTCCTACTTCGGCCTAGCTACAGGAGGATCACGCGCAGCTTCGCCTCGCCCGCACGCACGACACGAACACGAAACCGAAACCGATTTCCCAGTGGGGGGTCTCCGTTTCACTGGGATTTCACCCCCCAACCCCCGATATATATAGATATATGTATATATATATATACATATATATATATACACAGATATACACTAACAAAAAAGATGTCCCCGCGATCATGCGAGTTTTTTAAGCATCCATCGGGTATTCAACATGTTCATAACATGCTACCAAACAGGCCCCCCGCGCGCGCATGTCGAAGTCGTTCGAACGCCCCTGCGCGCGCGATGTTGCAAGAACCCCTGTGTAAAAAACACGACGCAGTGCACGCGCGGGCGTCGTCGCGCGCACATGCCGAAACCTTTTCCCCCCCCCCCAAAAAAAAACAAACAAAAAACAAAAAGAAAACGTAAGTTTCGTCAGGATGTCAAAACCGAGTGCCCCGAAAACATATACGTTCCTTTAATATTCCAAAAAAAATAGCAACAACAGTTTTCAAAAATGTTGCGTTCGCGCTCCTGCGAATGCCAGGATTCGTTTCGATTTTCCCGATTCGATTCGATTCGACTTCGATTGCTTCCGATTCTGCTTCGAATCGATTTGGGACTCCGATTTGGGTTCCGACTTCTTACTGGAGGTATACTGGCCTGCCGATGTCCGCCGATTCGATGTTTACCGACTCTGCTGCCGATGTTCGCCGACCCGATACATTTCGATGTCTGATTCGACGTATCGATTCGATTCCGGGCTCTCCTTGAATTCTTGAGAAAACCAAAAATTGTTTCCCACATCGAAAGTGAGGTTCTTGGTTTCTCTGCACCCTCCGCGCAGGATCTCTCCTCCTCCCCTTCTCTCTATCTCTCTTGATGTCTCTCTCTCTCTCTCTCTCTCTCTTTTCTCTCTCTCTCTCTCTCTCTCTCTCTCTTTTCTCTCTTTTTCCCCCTTCGCACAGTCATTCGATCACACACACAATCATCACTCACACTCACCCACTCACCCACACGATCATCACCATCGTCGTCGGCATTCGTACAGTCAGTCATCTACACACCCATCATCATCATCATCATCGGAATCACCTTCATCAGCACCACCATCATCATCAGCATTATCATCATCATCATCATCCTCCTCATCATCATCATCATCGTCATCATCATCATCATGCTCTGCAGGAGGCTTGTGTGGCTTGCGTGTGTGATCCGCCGCCGTTCTCCTCGCTTAAGTCTTTCAGGGGATGCAAGCGTTTCTCGTCAAGGTTGTTCCCGACCTCGTCCGCTCCCTTCGGACTGCAGTGATAGTCCGCGCTGCTGCCGATACTTGCCCAGCCTGCGTGTGCAAGCCGACGCTCTCGCGTCCACCCCTTACTTGCTCCTGCCCGTCGGGCGAGGGGCACTTGTCGGCGGCGCCTGACCCATCGGCCTCGAGCTGGTGCTGGGCCTTTGGGTTCCTGCAGGGCTTCGTGGCGGGCGTCTCGGTCGCGGGATTCTTCATCGTCCGCGAGCTCAGCCGCAGGAGGAGGACCCCCGCGGCGTCGCCGCGTGCCAGCGTGCAGGCGGATCTCCCCGCGTCAGCGGCGACGGAGTTCGAGCAGGCGGCGGCGGAGCAGGCGCAGCTGGCTCGGCGCAAGGCGCCGACGGGCCGCTGAGCCGATGGCGCTCCCCCCTGGCAGTTTTTACGCAGTGCGGTTCAATGTCCCTGGCCGTGAGATCTGGCACGAGCGCCTGGTCATCCTGGGAGTTTACATCATGACCCCCGACCTCGACGCGTACCCCGAGGACCAGTTCCCCTCGAGCGACGTCAAGGGCATCAGGCCTCTCGACGGACAGGGGGCCGTGGTCGACGGAGCGGGCGGCGGCAGCGTGCGCCGCTTCAAGAGGTTGCCAACGGCGCAGGAGGTGCGGCATGCCGCGCGCGAGGCGGTCGCTGGTGGGGCTGGTGCTCTTCCTCGGGAAGATTTC